AAATCTTCTACCTTTACAGCTACAACAATCACATTTAGTCATGAAAACAATTATTGTTGAATCATGAGAGTCTTTTCCCTATCTCTCTTCACCAGAACTGTCTAGACAGAATGAAAACCACTCAGTGGGGATTCTACACCCCCCACCCCCACCCCCCACACACTGTGACTCTAAATTCCCTCTTGAAAACTTTGTGCCAGTCACTTTGTGCCTTTACAGTCCCATCCTCCCCCACCCCCATTTTAGGCAGTCCATGTCTAAGTTGCCCATCCCTGTGTACATCAACCCTATGTACAGAGCGGATGGGAATGATCCTGGCTGTAAAGATTCTTTCCCTCTTGGTTGGTACTTTAAGCCACTATATCCATAAGTAAAGGTCAAGTTCATCAGATTGTAGCGATTTACACTTGTTTTTGTTTTTCCTTCTTTTCCTTCCTCTAGTTGGGTTTTGAACATCCAGATATTGAAGCTAGGTCCAGTTGACACTATCTACAAGTTCAGGTGCCCTGGTGTATTGGTGTGGTCTTTTTGACAATGAATGTAACGCCATTCCTCTTCAATTTGTCATTTCCGGCATAGTAAACCATGTGATGGTCAGAGTACAAATGGCCGATACCAGTCTGTTTCAGCTCACTGACGTCTAGGATATGGAGCTTTGTGCATTCAATTTCATTTTTGACAATTTTCAATTTTCCTAGATTCATACATCGTACATTCCGTGTTCCTATTATTAACGGATGTAAACAGCTGTTTTCTTCATTTTGATTTGTGCCCCATCAGCAAATGAAGGTCTTGAGAGCTTAATTCTGTTCACATCATCTCGGTCAATTCTACTTTGAGGAGGTTGCTCCTCCCCAATTGCATTTTGAGTGCCTTCCAATCTGAGGGGCTGCCTTCCAGCCCTCTAACAATATTCTGGGGCTCGCCATAAGGTTTTCAGTGAGTAAATCCTCGGAAGTAGTCCGTCTCTCCTTCTTCCTAGTCTGTCTTTGATTGCAGTCTCCGCTGACACCTGTCCTCCCTAGGTGACCCTGCTCGTATTTAAAATATCTTTTGCATAGCTTCCAGAATCCCAGCAACATACAAGCCACCACAGTATGACATACTGACAGACCTGTACTCTACCCAGTGAATGATTCTCCCTTCCCTCCCACCCTTGTCAACCATCATAGAAAGTGTACTGTAGAATGAAAACCTTTTCTTGGCTTTGTGCAATAGTGGTCTCATACTAATTTCACTCAGCGTAACGTCCTCCAGGTCCCTCCATGGTATTCTTCAGTGTTGCATACAAATTATTCCATTGCGTCTGTAACAGAGTTTGTTCAACCATTCATCTCCTGATGGGCGTCTAGGCTGTCTCCATCTTTTTGCTGTTGTGATATGCACGTGGGCATGTGCATATTTATTCATAGCATGGCCCTTCTTTCTTGCGGATGTATATCCAGTAGAGAGATTGCTGGGTCACCAACGAGATGGGTTGGCCAGGTGGCAGCATCGATGGACTCAAGTGTGGCAACAGTAGTGAGGTTGGCCCAGGATTGGACAGTGTTTTGTCCTGCTTTGTACAGGTCGCTGTGAGTCGGTACTGACTCGATGGCACCTAACAACAACAACAACATGGTACTTCTGAGGAAGTACCATCCGTTTCCCCTGCAATTGCCGCAGTTTTACAGTCCTACCAGCAGTGTAGGAGGGTCCCAGCCGCTCCACCCTTGCCAACGCTTGTTTTCTTTTTTGAACCTTACTCTTAATGCTGGGGCAAGATGGTTTCTCATTGTTGTTTTGATCTTTGACCTTATAGGAAGGTAAACTCTGGGAGGGAGTCCTGGTGTGGCGCTGTGGGTTAACATGCTGGACTGCAGAGTCGTTTTGAACCACAAGGTCGGCAGTTCAAGCTCACCAGCCGCTCCTAGGAATCCCTAAGTGGTTGCTATGAGTTGGAACCAACTCGACGGCATTTAACAAGAGGATAAACACTGGACCACGTGGGGGGTTTGAACTGCAAGACTGGCCGGCAGTTCAGACTCACCAGCCGCTCTTCGGGAACACTATGCAGGTCGCTGTGAGTTGGAACCAACTTAATGGCACTTCACAACAATAACAACATTGGCTAATGATACTGAGCATTTCTTCATGTTGGTTTGTTACCTGAATGTCTTCTTTGGTGACGTGTCTGTTCATGTTCTCTGCCCATTTTGTAATTGGATTGTTTGTTGTCGTCTTATTGAGGTGTTAAAGTGTTCTTTAAATTTTAGGCAGTAATTCCTTGTCTGGTATGCCATTGCCCCCAATTTTTTTTCTCCAGTCTATGGGTTCCCTTTGTACTCTTTTAGTGAACTCTTTTGCTGCACATAAATGTCCAGTTTTTAGGAGGTCCCAGTCATCTGTTTTGTCTTTTGCTAGCTGTGTGTTGTTGTTTATGTGTGATAGTGTTGTTTATGCCACATACCAGAGCCCCTAAGATTGTCCCCATGTTTTTATTGACGATCTTTATAGATCTAGGTTTTAAATTTAGGTCTATAATCCACATTGAGTTCATTTTTGCATATGGTGTGAGATACGGGTCTTGTTTCATTCTTCTGCAAATGGATTTCCAGTTTTGCCAGCATCGTTTGTTGAAGAGACAATCTCGTCTTCGCTTAATTAAGTGTTTCAGTCCTTTGTCAAAGATCAGATGAGCATAGGTGCATGGATTTATCTCTGGGCGCTTAATTCTCTTCCATTATGTGTCTGTTGTACCGGTACCAGGCTGTTTTGATGGCTGTGACTTTGTGCAGCAGGTTTTGAGATCAGGAAGTGAGAGGCCTAGTTTTTTTTGTTCTTTTTCAATAATACTTTCCTTATCTAAAGTCTCTTTCCTTGCCATGCCATATGAAGTTGGTAATTAGTTTTTGCGTCTCTTTATAAAGAGTATTGATTGAACCTGGATTGATTGCGTTGTATCTACAGATAATGGTTAGTGTTGACATTTTCACAGTGTTATGTGTTCCTGTCCACAAGCATGTTACATACAGTCATTGATGTTTGTACTTTGGGATTCTCTCTGTATAGGTTCATATGGTGTTGCTGCTGCTGTTGCTAAGGGCCATTGAGTCTGTTTGAACTTTTAGTGACCCTGTATATGGGGTTCCAAAGAGCAACCGGTGGATTTGAACTGCCAGCGTTGTTGTTAGCAGTCCAGTGCCACACCAAGACTCCAGTAAAGAATATACTTTCCCTTTGAATGCAGTACGGAGAGCCGTATACCACCTGCCACTGGGGAGAGTTGGGCTTCTTTGCCTTCAGTTCCCCTTTCTTGCATTATCTCACTGGCTCAGCCTTCTAGCGCAGTGTAGAATAGGAGAGGAGGTGAAGGACACCCTTGTCTGGTGCCTGTTCCCAAGGGGAACGGCTTCAGTTCTCTCCATGGAGAGTGGTGCTGGTTTTTATGTTGTTAAGGGCCGCCGTTGAACCGGTTGTGACTAATAGAGACCCTGGGTAGGGTTTCCCAGAGTGGCTAGTGAGTTTGAACTGCTGATCTTGTGGTTCAAACTGCTCTTACTTATGTTGAGGAATTTCCATTCTATTCCTGTTTATCAGGAATGGGTGCTGGATTTTGTCAAATGCCTTTTCTGCACTGATTCATATGGTCATGTGTTGAATTTTTTTCTTGTTATATTTATGTGATGGATTATGTTGATTGTTTTTCTAATACTAAACCATCCCTACATATCTGGTACAAATCCCTACTTGATCATGATTATTTTTTTTTTGTATGTATACCTTGAATTCTATTAGAAGTTTGTTGAAAATTTTTCATCTATGTTCCTGAGGAATATTGGTCTATAATTTTCTTTCTTAGGTTGTCTTTGCCTGGCTTTGGTACCAAAGGTATACTTGCATCATAAAATGAATGACTGAGTTTTCCATCATTTTCTATATTATGGGATAGTTTGAGTTGAATTGATGTCAGGTCTTCTCTGGATGTTTCATAGAATTCACCAGTAAAAGCCATCTGGACTGTTTAGCTTGGAGTTTTTAATGACTTGATCCATTTCTTCTCTTGTTATGGTTCAAGTTTTCTGCTTCAGTATTTGTTAGTTTCGGTCGTGTGCTCATAGAGATGTGTTCAGATTTTCAAATTTGTTCGAGTCAAGTTGTTGATAGTATTCGGTTATGATCCTTTTTTATTTCCACTGGTTCTTTTGTCGTGTCACCCATGTAATTTCTTCTTTGTATTATTTACGTCGTCTTCTTTTCTTCTGCCTGGTTTGCCAGTGGTTTGTTGTGAAAGATGACAGCTTTCCGAGTCCCATCGGGTCACTTTGGGGGGGAATCTACTCGGCCTGATGGCAGCAGGCTTGGTGTCTCTGTGCTTGCTGTGGGCACTGCTTTCCACAGTGCGTCCTCTGGGGTGCGTCCCAGGAGGTGGCTGGCCTTGCCTCGCATTTGGAGGAAGCCTGGGTGCAGAAGGCTGGAGTGGGAGTTTGCACCACTCATCTTCACTGCGGGTGTAACCTGGAGCTGGGCCGCTCCCAGCTCTGTCCTCCAGAGCGCTGCAGACCCGCCAGGGCCCTCGGGAGGTCGGGGTTGGAGACAGGTCACCCTAGGGGCTTCTATGGAGGTGCTCTGTGCACTTTCCGTCCTCGGCACCCTGTGGGCGCTCCGTCAGCCCTGACCACATGAGGGCCCTGAGGACGTGTGCTGGAGGAGAGCAGATGTCTGAGGCTGGGCTGGTGCTTGTGGTGGGCTAATTGAGGAGCCCCTGGGGCACGACCAGTGCACTGGCTACTGGCCGGAGGACTTCCCTGTGTTCTCCCTCATCCTCAGGGGTTCCCGACCTGCAGTCACCTGCAGTACTTCTGAGGGACTGATGCATGTAACTCACCTGCTGCCTGCCTTTGTCACTTGGTGGAAGTTTCTCTCCTGAGGCGGATTCAGGTGCATTGCACTCTAGGGTCTGGGGAGGATACACCGTTTGACCGTGTCCTCCACCCCCACCCCCACCCCTGGCCTTGCAGGACGCCAACAAGGAGAGCAGCAAGTCCTCCAAGCCGCACAAGGTGACCAAGGAGCACCGTGAGCGGCCACGCAAGGACTCAGAGAGCAAAAACTCTGCCAAGGAGCCCGAGCGTGAGCCAGCCAAGGCTAAGGACGCCGCCCGCAAGCTGGGCGAGGGCCGGCCACCCAAGGAGGAGAAGGTGCCGCCGCCCAAGGCTGCCTTCAAGGAGCCCAAGATGGCCCTGAAGGAGACCAAGCTGGAGAGCCTGTCCCCCAAGGGGGGACCCCCGGCCCCAGCCCCGCCCAAGTCTTCCAGCAAGCGGCCTGCCACCGCGGACTCACCCAAGCCCAGCGCCAAAAAGCAAAAGAAGAGCAGCTCCAAGGGGTCCCGGAGCGCCCCCAGCACCTCGCCTCGCACCTCGTCTTCCTCCCTGTCAGACAAAAAGCCGGCCAAGGACAAGAGCAGCACCCGAGGGGAGAAACTCAAGGCCGAGAGCGAGTCTAAGGAGGCCAAGAAGGCGCTGGAGGTGGAGGAATCCAACTCAGAGGACGAGGCCTCCTTTAAGTCAGAGGTGAGCCCAGCTGCCCAGCTGCCCACCCACCTGCCCGCCTGCCTGCCTACCCCTCCTCTCCCTCCTGCTGCTCCTCTCCATACTCCCTCTGCTCCTCCTCCCTCTGCTCCTCTCCATACTCCCTCTGCTCCTCCTCCCTCTGCTCCTCCTCCCTCTGCTCCT